AATTAAATCACAAGACATTTACATGGACATAGAAACAGGTGGATGAGGGGCGTTCCCCACCCACCAGGTGTTTCCCAAAGCATGAGGAATGAGGATCCCAAAACTATCTCACTGTTCCTCATGCTTGGTTAATATTTCTCAAAAGCAGTACAACAACTCTAATATCATAATATTCTAATAATCAATAACTTTTAAAACCTATGCATACGCAACACCTAATAACCAACCTAAATCCCAATTCCTCTCTATTTTATGCTAATTCTATCTATACTATGGAAACTCTTAATTATAGCCCAAACCAATTCCTAAGGAATGTGGCCCAGCCCAAAGTTCGTGCTGGGCCTTTAGGAATGTTGCCCAGCCCAAAGCTTGTGCTGGGCCGTTTCTAGTAGCTGTAGATATTTATCTGTATTATTAAGGTTGAAACAGCATTTTGTATGTATATACTAATTCTACAAATATACTATTAAATCATTAAAGAAGCTTGTACTGTATTAAAGGCTCCCAAATGTGACCTGAGTTTGAATTATGTTAAGTTTAAAGCCGAAACCGCCGTCTGTGAGAAACGGGAACAATGGACTCCTAAAGTAAGCCATGCCTGTTGTACTCTCAGAACTTCATGCTTAGATCACCAAAGTCCCTGCTAGGGGGATGTGCCAAAACAGCAAAGAAGGGAAGAGGCAATGGGCCTTCAGCTCCTGAACTCATCCTAGCGGTCTCAGGGTCTGCAGCCTGCCTGGATCCCTAACGGTCAGGCAGGCCTCCATGGCTGGCTCCCAACAATCTTGGAAAAAGCTTTTTTGTACTGAGAAAGTAATAGGAGATAGAAAAAAAAAAAAGCAAAGTCAGGAATCAATGCAAAGTAATACAGGTGACAATTTTAAATAGGGTGGTCAGGTGGGCCTCATGGAGGTGTCACTTGAGCAGACTTGAAAAGGAAAGAAACTGAACCGTGCAGATATTTGAAGGAAGAACTTTCCAGGATTGCCCTCGGCACACACCCAGGTCTCTGCACAGGGGCAGGTTCTAAAGCTGTGGTGGGAATGGAGGTGGGCACAATTATGAAAAGGCTTCCTGCGGGGAATGGTGAGGACCCAGGCCTCCCCTTCCTTTCTGGGGCATTAGAAGTCCTGGGGCTGAGGGAGGGAGGTCTCTGGTTTGTGGAGGAACACACAGGGGTGAGGGGGAGGCTGAGGTAAGTCCCACCCACACTCCACCTCTCTGCTCTCTCTCTCCCGCATCCAATGTCCCATCCCCATGGTGGGGGTCAGGGATAAGGAGGACCCTGAGGGCCACCACACCCTGCCATGCTGAGAACCTGGCTTCTCACCTGCCAACATCACTCTGACCTGGCTGCAGGAAGGGAAGGAACCTACCCTGGACTTGAGATTCAGGGGATCAGATCTGGGTCGGAGGCGAGACATACCAGGGCTGGGCAGGACTTTTTTTTCCTACCTGATGCAGTGATCCCAGGACTTGAGATGTAACAAAAAATGTCAGAAACAGGAGGGATTTCTGCACAAGTAACTGTATATATACTTTTAAATCATTGAGAAATAATTCCTAAGGGCCTGAAGGAGTGGGTTGTGCTTTCACTTCATCTGGAAAGATCAGGGTTAATGGTGAATGCAACTATATTGACTGATGGCCAGATAGCCCACTTGTTCTGTACCTTCATACCCCTGCCCTTTGTGACCAGGAGTAGACTGGAAGCAGATACTTACTAGAATAGTATTGCTGCCTGTAGCCTAGGCCAGCACAACACCCGAACCTACAGTCTCTTCCAAATTGAAAAATTTTTTTATATAAGAGGAGAAGGCCGGGCTCGGTGGCTCAGCCTGTAATCCCGCGCCTTTGGGAGGCTGAGGTGAGTGGATTGCCTGAGCCCACAGGTTCAAGACCCACCTGGGCAGCTAGACCACATCTCTACAATAAATCAAAAAATTAGCCGGGCGTGGTAGTGCACGCCTGTAGTTCCGGCTACTTGGAAGGCTGAGGCGAAGGGATCGCTGGAGCCCAGCAGGCGAGGCTGTGGTGGCCGGAAGCGTCCATTGCACTCCAGTCTGGGCGACCGAGAGAGACTCCAACTCAAGAAAAAAAAAAAAAGGAGAGAAGGAGGAAGAATAGATGTGGGTACATGAAGGAATAAATGGGTTTTGTAATGAGAAAAAGCCAATATTACATGAACTCCTCAAAAGAGGTGTTAAATGATTATATTGTCTCTTAGTTCAATTATACCAGATGTCTAAAAGTGCTAAGACACATGTTGCTGAGACCATTCCTGCTATTTGACTGAACTAATTATTAAACTAAATAGGACTCTTGTAGCAGTATCTGTGGTTAGCCAGGCAAGGTGGCTCATGCCTGTAACCTAGTGCTTTGAGAGGCCAAAACAGAAGGATCACTTAAGGCAGGAGTTCAAGACCAGCCTGGGAAACATAGTGAGACCCCATCTCTTCAAAACTGTTTAAAAATTAGTCAGAAGTAGTGGCAGAAGGCTGGAGTAGGAAGATTCCTTGAGCCCAGGAGTTTGAGGGTATAGGGAGCTATGATCCCGCCACTGCATTGCAGCCTGGAGAATAGAGCAAGACCCTGTCTCTAAAAATATAAATAGGTAAATAAATAAAATTTTAAAAGATGTGATCAAAGACAAGGGGGTGATCTGTGGTACAGGAAAAACATTTGTTCTTCCTCCCTTTTTCCTATCAGGCAGGTCCTAAAACCCTCGCAAGATCTTCAGTGACAAGCACATCATTAGCGGGCTAACAGGATGGCTCTTGACTGAGGGGTTCCTAGATAACTTTAAGATGAGGACTGGCTGCCAGAAACACCAGGCTGTATCTAGGGTATTGTTGGAATTTTCAGCTTCATCCTTAACCTTTTGGAAGAGAAGAGAAGCTGAAAGTTGAGTTCAACCACTAATGGCCAATGAGTTAAGCAATCTTGCCTACATAATAAAACTTCCATAAAATCCTCTAGACAATGGAGTTTGGAGAGCTTCCCAAATGGTGAACACATCCCCATGCTGGGAGAACAATGCACCCCAGCTCCATGGGACAGAAGCTTCTGTGCTCAGGACCCTCCCAGAACTCACCCAGTGTACCTCTTCATCTGGCTGCTCATTTTTAAACTTTATGATATATAAGGCTTAAATGTTTCCCTGAAAAAAGCATTTGTTGGAAACTGAATCCACGAAGCAACAGTGCTAAGAGGTGGGGCCTCTGAGAGATGACTGGGCCATCCAGGCTCTGCCCTCATAAATGCCAAGCCCACAGATCTTACCACCTTCCAACAAAAACACTTTCCTTATTTAATCTGCTTAGAGTATATCTATCATCTGTCTCTTCCCTCTAGACCATATGCTCAAGACCAACAATTTTTCTGTTGTTAATGATGTTTCTCAGATGCAAAAACAGTCTATCATTTATCTGGCAACAACAAATATGTACTGGAAGAATGATCATGTAAACACACTATCTTTGTTAATGCAGCCTTAGTTCAAGGGCTGTTTTATGAAACCTACAGCACAATGTCCTCTTACACGGACATCAATGTCACCTGTGCATTTTTCACCAGTGCTGTTGTGTGTCCCTCCCTCCACGCATTCTGCAACACCAACCCTCCTGCACACAGCAACTCACAATTTATTTCTTTGTGGAAAGAACAATCCTTGACTATGGGTCCAATATCCCAAACAAATATAAATCTAAATGAGACTTTGCTTTATAAATTCATGTGTTTGGAATGGAGCCAGCACTGGGTTTACTAGAACTAAAGGCAGTGAGTGAGAAGGGATAGGAGAGCAGAGTGGAGAAGGAATTCCAACAGAGATTTACCTAAGATGGTAACTATGGGATCCCTTCTGTCTGCTCCTCCAGAAGTTGGTTCCTCTAAAAAAGTTGGGCACAGGCCGGGCTCGGTGGCTCAGCCTGTAATCCCGCGCCTTTGGGAGGCTGAGGTGAGTGGATTGCCTGAGCCCATGGGTTCGAGACCCGCCTGGGCAACGAGACCTCATCTCTACAATAAATCCAAAAATCAGCCGGGCGTGGTAGCGCATGCCTGTATTTCCGGCTACTTGGAAGGCTGAGGCGGAAGGATGCCAGAGCCCAGCAGGTCGAGGCTGTGGTGGCTGGGAGCGGCCACTGCACTCCAGTCTGGGCGATAGAGCGAGACTCCAACTCAAAAAAAAAAAAAAAAGTTGGGCACAGTAACATGGATGGAACTGGAGGACATTAAGTAAAGTCATCCAGGCACAGAAAGACAAATATTGCATGTTCCCTCTCATAACTGTGAACTAAAAAAATTTGATCTCACAAAGGTAGTGAATACATGGTGGTTGCCAGAGACTGAGAAGGATAGTCGAGTGGGTGAAGAGGAGTAAAGAGAGATTGGTTAATGGGTACCCAAACACTGTTAGAAGGAATAAGACCTAGTACTGGGTGACTATAGTTAACAATAATGTATTGTATATTTCAAAATAACCACAAGATTTAGAATGTTCCCACCAAAATGAAATGATAAATGTCTGAAGTGATGGATATCCTAATTACCCAGATTTGATCATTACACATCATATGCTTGTATCAAATATCCCAAGTACCCCATAAATAGATACAACTATTATGGATCCATAAAGACTAAAAAGAAATACAAAATAAAATAAAAAGATTGAAGAAAAGATGAGAAAAACATAATGCAAGCAAGAGCCCTAGAAAGACGGCAAGAGCTAGATGGTCTGAAAATTCATCTCTTGATACCACAGAGATGCATTTGTACAGAGGCCACTCTGGGTGATGTCTGAGTCTCTGTGGATACAAGTCCTGCTACAACAAGATTCTACTGAAGGGACAAGGACAGTGGAGCGGTGAAGATAACCCAGATGAGAACCACATCTAAAAGCATAATAAACTAAGCATCAAGTGAACTCAGGCCCCATCCACACTCAGCTCCTCACAGCCTTCCCCTTCCCTACCTGCAACAGACTCAGTTCCACAAACATGTGGATTCTGGAAGGTTCTCAGGTCTTCCATTTATTTCCTCTCTCAAATTTTAGAAATCTCCTTCTTTAATTAGCTCCTCAGCTTCTCATGGCAAGAATTTGAAACACCAATTTATATTCAGATTCCTATTTTCGTTAGGGAAGCAAGAAGTTAGAGCTAAGCACACCATGAAGTAGAGACAGGGATGGAGACGTCCCCACTCCACCTCTCTGGAACAGGGAAGATGATCAGGGAAGGCAACAGGTCAGGGCGGTGAAGGGAGTCAGTGTGGACACAGGGGTGGGCTGGTCTTCTCCTCACATTGTCCTAACAGGAACGCAGACCCATTCAAATGTCCTTTGCAGAAAGAGAAGTCAGAGGCTCATGAAGTCACAAAAGGGAGGCGAGAACACATCTTCTATCACTTCTATCACTCAGTCCCCCAAAAGGCAGCTGGGTCAAGCTATAGAAGAAAATAGGCATGAACAAAATTCAGATGAGCCATGATCTTCTGAACAGCCCACCACACACTCAAAATGTTCCCCAAATCTCCACAGCCCAGTTGTGTCTCCTCTTCCCCACTCCCTCCTCCACCACATCAGGCCCCCAGGGTCACACCTTTACAAACCGTGAGAGACACATCAGAGCCCTGGTTACTGTCACCACCTGGATGGAACAAAACAGGACCTGGTCAGAGTCCACAGGAGATGTGGTACAGGAGAAATTATGGGGTGGGTGAGCTCCCCCATGGGCTCCTATCTACCCTGTTCCAAGAACCTGAGGGATCATGGCCGCCACACTTACTTGCAGCCTGAGAGTAGCTCCCTCCTTTTCCACCTGTGGAAAGAAAATGTCCAGTGAGAGGCCAGAGAGGAGGCAGGCCCATGAGGTCCTAGAGGAAGCCCTAGTCTTTGATCCCAGGGAAGTTTCCCAAACTGTAACTATAGACCCACGACAGCATCAGGAAACAAGAGGAAAGGAAATGTATAAGAACTGGTCCAGCTCCCCCCTTGGAGGTCTCTTCTCAGCAGGGACCTTCCCTGTGACCTGTGACTATTGGGAATCAGGTCCCCAACACCACAGTATTCAAGGTGAAAAATATGTCCATTATTTCCACATGTGCTTTGCATCAGAGTAGGTAAGTGCTGGCATACAGGGCCCCAGGCTGGATAAGCACCTATGCGTGGATGGTACTTCCCAGTCATGAGGCCAGACACACATCTACCAAAAACTTGAAATGCCCAGTGGGACCAGAAAACCCAGACCATACCCCTCACTCCTTCCCTACCTGAGTTCTTCTTCCTCCACATCACAGCTCCAGTAACCACAACTACAAGGACAACCAGGCCAGCAACAATTCCCACAATGAGGATGGTGGTCTGGGAAGATGGCTCTGAGAAAGGAAGGGAAGGTGAGGGGCCCTGAACCAGGCCTCAGCCCTGACCCTCCAGAAGTCCTTCTGCTTTCCCTGAGAAGAGACTCGACCCCCACCCCCCTCCTTACCCCACTTCAGGGTGCGGGGCTCTGGCAGCCCCTCGTGCTGCACATGGCACGTGTATCTCTGCTCCTCTCCAGAAGGCACCACCACAGCTGCCCACTTCTGGAAGGTTCCTTCCCCTGAAGGCCTGGTCTCCACAAGCTCCATGTCCTGCGTTTGGTCCTCCCCATCCCGCTGCCAGGTCAATGAGATCTCTGAAGGGTAGAAGCCCAGGGCCCAGCACCGCAGGGTGACGTCGTCCCCATCAGGGTGGGGGTGGTGGGTGACGTGCGTCTTTGGGGGATCTGAATAAGAATCAGAAAATTCAGGCACTTTGCCTCCCTCCTGGGACCCTCCAGCAGCGCCCATGTGACCATCCCGAGAATGGACAGGACAACTGGGGTGGGGGAAGAAGTACAAAGCACACACCAGCCTGACATGGGCAACTGTGATAATCTATTTCTCGGAAAGTTCTAGACTCTGAGGAGAGAATAGGGACTTCTGGTCCTGACCTGAGTGGAGGCCAAGCGACTCCAGAGAGCTGGAGTCGACCTCCAAACACCCTGAGTGTGAGGCAGAGAACAAGGCCTGAGAGAAGAAGTCATGATGCTCAAGGTTGCTGCAGGAGTCAAAGGGAATCCCTGATTCCCATTTCTGGGACTGTCTTCCCCTCCGTTCCCTCAGAGACTGCATCGGTCCCTTCCTGTCCCAGAGAGAACGGCAGGCCCGAGTCGCTCTCTGGAACAGGATCTGGGAACTCAGGAGGATTCTTCCTGCTTGGACCACGGGGACGGCGATATTCTAGCGCTGACCCCATTTTCCTCCCCTCCCTGTGGGGGCCAGCCTGGGGATGGGCAGGAGGTCGGGGAGGCGCCCGCGGCCCCGGTCTGGCCCCTCTTACCGACGCGCTGCAGCGTCTCCTTCCCGTTCTCCAGGTATCTGAGCAGCAACTCCACACACCGGCCCTCCAGGTAGGCCTTCCAGTGATCCGCCTCACGGGCCTCCTCCCACTTGCGCTGGATGGTCCCAGCCGCCGTGTCCGCCGCCGTCCAGGAGCGCCGGTCCTCGTTCAGGGCGATGTAGTCGGCGCCGTCGTAGGCGAACTGACTGTACCCGCGGAGGAGGCGCCCGTCCGGCCCCACGTCGCAGCCAGATAGCCTCTGGAGGGTATGCGGCCCTGGCCCGGCCCCGCCCCGCGGTCAGCCCCGCCCCCTCGGCCCCGCCCCGCCCGACCCTCGGGATTTCTGGCCGAAACCGAAACTGAAACCGGGTAAAAGCCGCCTGAGCCCCTTCCAGGGTCCCGGCGGGTCCCGCGGCCTCGGGGTGAATCTCGGACCCGGAGGCTCGGACGGCCCCCGCCGTCCGTGGGGAATCCGAGGGGCCGTGACCTCTGACCCGGCCCGGGGTCCCTCACCGGCCTCGCTCTGGTTGTAGTCGCTGAGCGCGGTCCGCAGGTTCCCTCGGAAAGTCTGTGTGTCCGCCTTGCAGCTCCGTGTGTTCCGGTCCCAATACTCCGGCCCCTCCTGCTCCATCCACGGCGCCCGCGGCTCCAGCCTCGGACCCTCCGCGTCGCTGTCGAACCGCACGAACTGCGTGTCGTCCACGTAGCCGACGGCGAAGAAGCGGGGCTCCCCGCGGCCGGGCCGGGACACGGCGGTGGCGAAATACCTCAGGGAGTGGGAGCCTGGGGGCGGGAGGGGCTGAGACTCGGCCCGACGCTCCCCCCGGCGCGGATCCCCGGCCCGAGGCGGACGGCGAGAGGGGGGAGGGGGCGAGGGCTCGGGCGGCGGAAAGAGGCGGCGGGAGAAGGGGGGACAGGGCAGGGTCCGGGCGGCGTAGACGCGGCCTCCCGGGTCCTGCGCTCCCGCGGGCCGGTCTCCTCCCTCATCCCCTCAGGGGCCGTTTCCCTCCCGCCCCGCGCTCACCCTCCCGGGTCTCGGTCAGGGCCAGGGTCCCCCAGAGCAGCAGGAGGAGGGCGCGGGGCGCCGTGGCCGGCATCCTCGGGTCAGAGGAGACTCCAGGTTCCGGCGGGGCCGTGGGGACTTTATAGCCGGACCCGCGGCCACGCTGATTGGCTTCGCCACGAACCCGACTCCCAGCGGGAGGGAGACGTGCGGCCGCGTCACGAGTATCCGGGAGGAAGGGCCCGACGCAGGTTGAAGAGAAGTGAAACTCCGGGCTTGGGGAATCCCCTGCGCCGGGGCTCCCCACCCCAGACACCGCCCGCGGGGCCGGAGACCCTGAGAGCCTCGCCCCGGGACCTGGGACTTGGCCCTGACGCCCTCCTCCGGCACCGAGCGCGCTTTGTCACGCTGTCGCCCGGAGCCCTGGCCCAGAAGAAGTCTCTCTGTGGAAACCGGGGAGAGACGCCGGTCCCAGCCCTTTCGCTTCACTTCTCGCCCTGGAATCCTTGCCCCTGAACGGACTCCCTTCCCTGCGCTCATCCTCTCCCCTGGACTCTTCTAGAATACAACTCACCCCAGGGACCCGATGCAGAGTGAGCTCCCCTGGAAATGCAGGTGTAAGCACAGGGGTTTTCTCTTTAAACCTGGAGTCGTGTCTGAAGCACCAGAGAAAGAATCTCCTCCAGACCATTTACTTTTTGCTAATTAACTACAAAGGGCAGCACAATCTCGGTAACTCCTGAGTGATCAGGAATCTTATCTGTAAGGGAAGTGACTTTGGCCCCTTCATAGGTAAATGTGTCTAAACAGCATTGCAATCACATGAAGTTTCCAAGTTTACTTTCCTAGTCTATGTCTCTGTGACTCTCGGTTTTTGAACTTTAAATTTATCTCCATTCCATAGCCCCAGTTTCTGTGTGTGAGTCCAGGACATACAAATACAAAGAAGCACGACTTGTTACTGTGTGTTGCAGCCAGGAGCCTGCCCAGACTGTAACCACCTCGGAGCTGCAAGGGCTCAGTGCAGTCCCAATGCCCTTCACCAGTGCTGCTGCACTGCGGGTCTTCGTGGATGACCCACGTCTGAGGTGTGTGGGTATTTGATGGGGGCACTTGGTATTTTTTTAACCCGATTCACAGAAGGACACTTGTTTTTAGGCAGTCCCACAACTGTATTAGCTAACAAACGCAAAGGTCACCCAGCTAGGCTCTGTAGATAGATGTATAAAAACTTTATGAAACACTGTTTAAATTGGAGAATTCCACCGCTTTAGAATGCTTCTCCCTGCTCCTTTTCCTCACCTCCTGCTTCTCCAGCCCTTCTCTCTTTCCCTCCCGTCCCTCGGGTCCTCTTCTCTTGGTCCCCATAACCCTTCACTACTGAATTATGACATTAGTGCTGTCCCCTCACCTGCTACCCATGACTATTCACCCCACAGTGGTGAGCAATCCTACTAATGTGATCATGTCATGTCATTTTTGACTTAAAACGCTCCAGTGGCTCCATGTCACTCTTCTGACGCCTCCAGGATGTGAGGCACCTGAGCACAGGGACTTGGGACTGTTTTGGTCTAAGTCAAGTCTGCAGCATATAAAGTCATACCTGGCTTTAAATTAATTTTTGTTCAGTGAAGAAATATTGTATTAAATACAATTGCATCACATAAAATTATAAATGAAAGAGCTATAAAAATGTTAGGAAAGATTTCATGCATATCATGAACGGTGTGTATTATTTCATAAATGCATTTCAGTGGAGAAAATCTGTGTTATCTATTGAGCCTGTGCATTGATTTTCTATTACTGTATAAGACATTACTATAAACTCGATGGCTTTAAACTACACCCATTTATAAGTTTACATTTTCTTTTCTTTTTCTTCTTTTTTTAAATTTTAAAGATGTGGGGTACAATTCAGATTAGAGGTACAAATGGTCATGGTACAGGTAAAGTGTGGGCTTTTGGTCCCCACTTTGCCTGGTTTGAGATCTGTGCCCTTAGTGATGAAGTGTGCACCCTTCCTCTCCTCTCCTGGCAGTTTCCCATCACTGCCAATTCCTTTCTTATTGTAGTATGATCATTGCTTAGAGTCTGCTTGTATCCCACATCTTTAAAATTTAAAAAAAGAAGAAAAGAAAAAGAAAAGAAAATGTAAACTTATAAATGGGTGTAGTTTAAAGTCATCGAGTTTATAGTAATGTCTTATACAGTAATGAGTGAGAACATGTGGTACTCAGTTCTTTGTTTTTGTGATAGATCACTGAGTATTATAGACGCTAAATGCATCCAAGTTGCTGTGAAGTTCATAATTTTGTCCTTATTTATGGCTGTGTAATATTCCATCATGTATACGTACCACATTTTTTTTAATCCAGTCCACTTTTGATGGGCAACATTGTTGGTTCCATGTTTTTGCTTTTGTGAATAACACTAAAATAAACATGCATGTGCAGATATTTTTTTCATAGAGTGATTTGAGTTCCTTCAAGTGTAGTCTCACAAGGGGGATTGCTGGGTCTTATGGAAGGTCAATTTTTAGGTCTTTTAGGAATCGCCAACTGTTTTCCAGAGGTTGTACTAGATTACACTCCCACCAACAGTGTAGGAATGTTCCCTTTCCCACATCCTCTCCAGCATTTGTTTTTTGGGGGTTTGGGGGGGTTTTTTTGAGTTATTGATGATAGCCATCCTGACTAGACTTAGGTGGAATATCAGTGTGGTATTAATTTGCATTTCTTTGATGATTACTGAGGCTAAGCATTTTTTCACTTCTTTTTTAGCTGCTTGTTTTTAGCTCATTTTTAAGACACTTCTTTTAAGAAGTGTTTATTCATTTCTTTTGCCCACTTTTTAATGGGCTGGTTTTTTTGTTTTTTGTTTTTTGTTTTTCTTTTTGGCAAGTTTGAAATCCTTGTAGATCCTGAATGTTAGGCCTTTGTCAGATACACAGTTGGCAAATATTTTTTTCCCAGTCTGTGGGCTATCTCCTCACTGCCTTGATGATTTTTTTTTTTTCTTTGCAGAAGCTTTTTAATTAGATGGGGGTCCCACTTGTCTATCTTACCTGTATGGCATGGGCATCTGGGGTTTTGATCAGGAATTGATTGCCTATTCCAATTTCCATAAGGATGTCTCCTGCATTTTCTAAGGTTCTTATAATCTGAGGTTTTATGTTTAGGTCTTTGATCCATTTAGAGTTGATTTTTGTGTATGATGATAGGAAGGGACCTTGTTTTAATCTTCTTCATGTGGTCAGCTAGTTTTCCCAGCACCATTTACTGAATAGGTTCTTTCTCTCCACAGCGGTTGCTGGTGAAGACACTGTTGAATATGAGTTGGTTGAGAGATTGAGATTTTGCTTCTGGAATCTATTCTGTTCCATTGGTCTGTATGCCTGTTCTTATACCAATACCAGGCTGTTTTTATTATTGTAGCTTTATAATAAAGTTTAAAGTCTGGAAGTGCATTACCTCCTGCTTTGTTTCTTTTTCTGAGGATTGTTTTGGCCATTCATGGTCATTTATGTTTCCATATGAATTTCTATATTGTTGTTCTAAGGTCTGAGAGATTGATGTTGGTAATTTAGTGGGTATTTTGTTAAATCTCTAGATTGCCTTGGGTAGGTAGGATGGATAGCTTAACCATGTTGATTCTTTCAATCCATGAGCATGGAATATCTGTTTTTGTGTCATCTTTGATTTCTTTCAGCAGTGTTTTACAGTTTTTGTTGTAAAGGTCTTTCACTTCTCGGGTTAGGAAGATGCCAAGGAATTTCTTTTGTTGTTGTTGTCGCAATTGTGAATGGGATTGTGCTTTTTATTTGATTTCCTGCCTGTTTTTTTTTTTTTGGTGTATAAGAATGTGACTGTCTTTTGCATGTTAATTGTATACACTGAGACTTTGCCAAAGTCCTTATCAGTGTAAGGAGGTTTTTGACAGGTTCTCTTGGATTTTCAAGGTATAGGATCATTTCATCAGCAAAGTGGGATAACTTGACTTCCTCTTTTCCTATTTGGATACCCCTGATTTCCTTCTCTTGTCTGATTTGTTTACATTTTCTTAGTCAGAAATCCAGGCATGGTGTGGATAGGTTCTCTGGTCAGGGTTTTATAAAGCTGTACCCTCATCTTGATCTTGGGGTCCTCCCCAAGCTTATATACAGCCTGTGGGAAGAACTGGTTTTCTGGCTTTTATAGGACTGAGGTCCCCATTTCCTTGTCAGCTCCAGGGTGGAGAAAGGGGAGGACTGTCCCCGATTCCTAGTGCCACCATCATTTTTGGCCACATGCTCCCTCCCTCATTTTCAAAGTCCACAGTTGAGAAAATCCCACACACGGAATCCCTCTCCCACTGTGACTCTCTATGCTCAGGAAAAACCCAGTCCTTTTAAGAGCTTACCTGATTAGGACAGTCTAATCTAGGTTAATTTACTGTCTTATGGTCTACTGACTTGATATTTTAATTACATCTAAAAAATTCCTTCACAGCAGCACTTACAATAATGTTGACTGAATAATAGGGAAGGTGAATTCCCAGGAGGTGGCTTCTGGGAGGGGTCATCATAGAATCAGCCTGGCATCACCTGGATCTTCCTTTCATGTTTAATTACATCCCATTGGAAATCAAAATTCAAATAAATAGATTGTCATGATTGGTAATAAAATACATCCTGTTTAGCCATAGAAATTCTTACCTTCTTAAAATGATGTTTAATTCTTTTTTTTTCTGAGTTGGAGTCTCACTCTGTCGCCCAGACTGAAGTGCAGTGGCTACTCCCGGCCACCGCAGCCTCAACCTGCTGGGCTCCGGCAATCCTTCCACCTCAGCCTTCCAAGTAGCCAGAACTACAGGCGTGCGCTACCACGCCCAGCTAATTTTTGATTTATTGTAGAGATGAGGTCTCGCCTGCCCAGGCATGTCTCGAACCCGTGGGCTCAGGCAATCCACTCACCTCAGCTTCCCAAGGCGTGGGATTACAGGCTGAGCCACTGAGCCCGGCTGACATGTTTAATTCTTAACATTAAGTTAGAGCATATGAAAGTCAAAGTGTAATAAGTCATTCTCTCTTTGTAAGTTATATTAGTTATCTACTGCCGCATGAAAAATTCCCTAAAACTGAGCAGCTAAAAACAACAAATTTCTGT